TTTACATTACAGGCTATCAGAACTGCATCTACTTTTTGTCTATATAAATAACTTTGTATAAAAAATTTCCTCATTGAGCGTGAGCTCTATATTCGATAAGTGCAACAAATGCCTGGTGTATTCAAAAGATGCAAGCTTTTTTTAATACCTTGTCTAAAGAATGAAAATATTACCGCTCTATTTCAAACAAAGGCTCTAATGTTATTGTAATGTGATTAACTATGGAAGCATGGTGATACCTGTAATGTAATATCTTTCCCAATTCACCTGTGATGTCTCGCATCTTAATAAATGTGTATTTTACCTTTAACCAAGACATTAAGAAGCACATACTAATGAATGATGTTCACAAAAACACTGATGAGCTGTCAACAAAATCATGTCACAGCATTTCAAACGCACCTGCTGTTTCTGATAGGCGGTGTTAGGGTTGATTTTGGACTCCAGCAGCAGTGACCCTGTTTTAAAGAACGGGCACATATTACTTTTACAGTTAACGAAAAGTGGCCCTGTACATCATCTCTGTAATATTTTGAAACATACCATCACTTTCGGCGCGCACCAGGAGAGACATGCCTTTCAGCCGCTCCACGTAGGCGGATGACACATGTCCCGTCCCCCGATCATCCCACTGGCGGTCCTCATTCAGAGTGTACACTTTTACTCGTCTACGAGTGTCAGTCATCCTTGCAAGTAACTCTCAAACAGGCTTTTGCCCTTGATTCAATAAATCTCAACGTCCTCGGTTAGCAAGGTGCAACAGAATCTGCTGTCAACTTCAAGCTGAAATGTATGGCATTCACTGGCAAGCTGTCGCGAAGCTGATGCAGTATGTTGTTGTGGGGTCTATCACAGTAAACGTATGCAGTCCAGAAGAATTATTCTGACCAGTCTAGCGATGGTCAGCTAGCTGCTGTGTGCAGCCGAGGCTCTCCACAACATACTCAATACTTTGAACTTTTAATAAACGCAACCACGAAAAACGCTCCTCTGTTTCTAAAGGCCGTGAAACGGTGAGAAATTAGTTTAAAAGCATGCAGCCAGAGCACGAACGCAGAATGTGTTTCTTTTCCTCTGTGCCCCTTTACTTTAAGCTAGCTAGGCTATGCTAACGCTGCGACTAATTCAGTCAAACGGGGTTAGCGTAGCTAGCGCCTCAGCTAGCAGGCTATCTACTGGCGCGAGTCATTTTAACCCAGAATTGTTCGAAACGCGCGCAAATGAACTCCAAAGACGTACCGATAACGCTATTTGATCGTTATACTCGCGCGCGGTCGGTGAAAAGGCGGGAAGGGTCGTGTATAACGCGGCGCGTTCATAATAAGCTAAGCTATATTTTCTCCAAGTATTCCGCCATATTCTGGCTAAGGGCCGCGGATGGACCAGCCAGTCTCTTCACACATAAATAAACATTCCCCTATGTAACTAATCGAATAGACTCGCTCGTTTCACTTTCCGGGACGGCGAATGGCCAGCGCGACCGTCGAGCACCATGAAATAGCAGCGTCTTGACGAAAAGTAATTATTAGCCCCACTGTGAAGATTCGGCCATCTTGGGTCCCCTCTGAAAGCCGCGACGGGGTTTCCTGTGCTGCAGGCGCAGGGCCGCCGCCACAGTTTAAAGACACAGTGCGCCAAAAATGAGCAGCGCAGACACACTGGTGTTTCGTAACCCCAAACACTCATTGCTGTTGAAAATGAAAGAGACACAGAGAGGAATGTGAATGAGGGTGAAAGTAAGCTCGAAGACGCGCGGCTTTTATTAATGACTTCTAGAGCGCGCGTAAAGATAATAAACTTCATACTGCTTTTGCCATTCAGTAGAATGAAATGCAGATGTGTACAGTTGTGCTGTTGACTTTGTTTCTGAGAACAAAGTGCAGTACATTATAGTTTCATTCATTTCAGTTATTATAAATAACAGTCTCTGCTGGGAATATAAACATAGCCCATACAAACCTTTTCTGGTAAACCAGTCCAGTCTCAGCTTTGGAACATGGTTAACCAAGTAAACAAAGTCCCTAGAATATTATATATAGCCAGTGTGGTCAACCAGACATGACCAGGTTGTACCACCAGCTCAAATATTATATAACTGTAAAAATGACTTACTAACTACATTTTTAGTGTTGCTTGTCCGTGCAAAACTCGCCACCACAAATACTAAGGTGTTGGTGTCACCAAGGGATTGTTATTTGGTTGATAGTGTGTTGTGGGTTGTTGCTATGTGTATGTGGTGCAGGGTGAGTGATTATGAATTCAGCCTCTGTTAACGGTATAGGCCCATCTATCATGTTAACATTTGCAAAATGACCTGAAAAGGTTAAAGTAAGCATGAAATGAAAATCCTCCTTATGCTTACTAAATGCACCCTAATCATCTTATTGTAAACAATTCATCCATTCATTTGTTTATTTATTTTAACCCTCATGATCTTTAATCGAAATGTCATAACTTGATCTTCCAGTGAAACGACAGGCTTATCTCTAGATCTCGCTTCCTTTTTTCTAAAAAAAAAAAGAAAACATGTTTCCATATGAACCACACAAAGGCATACAAAATCGCCACCATGTTAGAAATCACAACTATAAGTATTTGAGAGGGCTAAGAGCCAATATATAGTGCAATTTCCCAAAAAGAAATTGGGCTAAGAAGCACAGATCAAGTTAGACTGGCCATGCCAGTTGGGGTTAAATTGCAAATCTGTTACCAAATAGAAAATGTTGTGGCTTTATCTTACACTTGTAACTAGTATTATTGTGTTCTTATTGGTACTTTAAACTTTTGTGCTCAGCTGTTTCCTTAGTTACCCAGCAACTCTCATAAACAGAATGCATACACTTCCTCACAAGTTGGTAAGTACTTTCAAATAACATTGCAACTACTCTGTGGACCATGTAACCCACAGAACAGAATGAAACTGTTTGGGGTTTCCAATATCAGCACTAAACATGATCACAAATATCAATCCAAAAGGTATTAGTAACCTAGTGGTCTCAGTAATTACACAATTACAGTAGTTTCATGCTTCAATACAGGGCACATGTTGATCAGATTCTTGACAAATCAGAATTAAAAATGAAAGCCCCAGTGATAACATGAAAATTTTTGTACAACAGGTAAAGAAAAGAGTTGCATATTTCAGAGGATTTGTTCAGCAATTTCTTATCTGAACAATTAACAGTGTAGCTGATAAACAGGACATTCATGCCACAGTACAGTGTGCTGCTGAGAGCTGAAAAACAGGACGGTCATGCTGCGCTGTATAATGTGATTCACATTTGTTTTCTAAAAGCTCCTTTTAGACTGAAACTTTACCCATGCTCCTTAACAAAGGAGTTGTTTAGGACAAAAACCGAATTTTTAGTCTTGGTCAGGATACAAAATGTGAAGCATCTATTTGTTTTCAAACACAATCAGGTCTGAGTATCATGAAATAATTTAACAGAAAGGACATACTGTGAACTAAAATGTCCTAACAAATAAACTGGAGCATATAGAGACAAGCACACGGTCACTTTCCCTTAACACATGCAAATGACCAAGGAACGAGCTCAGAAATGCTTATTATCACTTTATGACAAAGAGAGTAGATGTGCAATACTGACAAAGGCCAAAAAAAAAACCTTTACAAAATTAGTTTATCAACAAGTTGTACATTTCTGGCATATGTTATACCATATACACAACAGTTCAAAAGTATGGAATCAGTAAGATTTTTTTCATGTTTTTGAAAGTAATCTTTCTTTATTTGATCAAAAAATACAGGAAAACTGTAATATTGTTAAATAACAGTAAAACAATATTCAAAGGAATTTTTGATATGTTTTGGATTTTATGAGTTGTATTTCCCAGGATACGTTGCCCTATTAGGGAATAAAAAACATCTCAAGTCATCAATAATTCTATGATTTATTTGATGCAAACAAATATGTAATATTCAAAATATGCTGCATGTATGACATGTCTAAGTGTCCTAAAATTAAGGCATAGACATTTCTTGTATTTTTACATTGCTGAACTGTCTCGTCTTCATCCTCAGGGGTGGGCAATTCAACCCCTTGAGGCCCACTGTCCTGCAGGGTTTAGCTCCACCATCTCTAATCAATCATTTAATGTAATTTATGTATCAACATGTATTTTTTTTTTATGTAATCCTGAAGACTTTGCATAGATTTTTCAGGTGTGTTAGATCAGGGTTGGAGCTAAATCCACTGCAGGATGGTGGCCCTCCAGGAGCAGGGTTGGAAAAAATCTAGTTAAAAATGCAAAGACGTAGTCAACTAAATGTATTAATATCAGTTTTACATGCAAATATTAACATTTGCACAATTTTTTTTTAACTCAAAATAAATAGAAAGGAGACTGGGTACAGGGGGCCAAGAGGGCCTATGAGGATCATCCCTAAGGGCCCCTGCCCTGGTATGCAATTTCTACTGAGGGGGATCCCCTCCCCTTGATGCATTTCACAATCCCCCTCTACCCCATCCCTCTGAGAGATTTTTAACAAGGGGGTCCCCCTTCTCTAGACTGCGATTCCTACAGTACATCCCCTCACCCATATGTATCCTGTGGTGCATGTTGCCTGTTTAAGGGTTAAGGTGTAATTTATTACAGTGATGGAGCTAAATGTTTAGCAGCCATTACTGCAGTCTTCAGTGTCACATCTTTCACAAATCATTCTAATATGCTGATTTGATGCTCAAGAAACATTTTCTATTATTATCATTGAGACCGTGATATTTTTGTATTGACAGTGATATTAGTGATATTCAGAGATTTTTATATTTATATTTTAATATTTAGATGAAGATTGAAAGAACAGCATTTATCTGAAATAGAACTCTTTTGTAACAGTCTTCACTGTCAATTTTGATCAATTTAATCCATCTGTGCTGAATAAAAGCATTTAATTCTTTCAAAAAACCTTACCGACACCTAACTTTTGAACATCAGTGTTAAAAAAACAAAAAAAAAAAAAACAGTACTGACACCAAGACTTTGTGTGAGAAGATTTTTATTGTTTTCCAGCGGTGACTACTGGATATATACACAAAACAGACAGGGCCAAGAAAATCTGTAACAGCACTGAGGACAAAAGTTGGGATAAAAGATGACTCAGAACCATCTACATAATCTGAAATGTGTATGTTTTATACTTCACTGAATTAAAGAACAATTAAACCACAATAAAAAAAAAAAACAAGAAAACACATCAATTGAGAGGGATTGAAAAAAAAATCCTAAACCCTTTTTTCCCCCAATCTTACCGTCTTTTCTGATAAATATCCCAAGTCCCTAACTCCAGTTACAAAAAATGCGATTTAAAATGTAAAAAATTTTCACTCTATGCTTTGATGTACTGACTGAATAGACATGCATTCAACAAAATCTGAACTAAGCAGCATCACATCTATGTTTGTCCTGTGATGTGGCATAGTTCTGATAGAGTTGGGAACTAGCATCAGAAAAAACTCAAATACACTCCTTATTTTCCCGCCTGCTGGGCTTGACGCCTCAGCAGCACATAGATCTTTTCTTTGATCCAGTCTTTGTTGTAGGGCTGGTAGGTTTGTGTGTCTGCCCGGTACCTGTTTAAATGACCAAAGAATGAAAAAATTACTACATTGCTCAAAATTTGTACCCTTGTACATGATTGACGAGATCTTGTGTTAGTTTACTTACACAAGACAGCTGAGGTCAGCGAGATCATCAACAAAGTCGAATAACTGGCTTATGTCATATGTGATGGAGGGACTGTTGGGGTTCATCCTCTTCAAATGCTCTTCATACATCTTACACACTCCTTTTATTAGAGAGAAAAGAAAGAATTAAAAATTCCACATTAAAGCATTAGAATTGTTCATAATATTCATTTCTAGCCCTTTAAAATCATAAGAAATATTCTACCTTCCATGCATTCGTTGACAGACTCATAGTCTGCATATGTTCTGCCTTCTGGTCTCTTGGTGGGCTGCACCAACAGAATTGTGTGAGACTGAACATCAGAAAAAAAAAAACAAGTGTAAATAAATATTACATACATTTTGACTTGTGTACACATTTTAGAGAGCAAAAAGACGTAAAAGCTTAATTAAAAAAGCACTGTACATATAAATACACCAGATATGACCCAATTATGTGGAGCCCCCTACTGCCAGAAACAGAGCTTTGACTCCTAGCAGTGACATTAATAGAGCGTATATATATATTTTTTTTTTTTAAATGAATGACATCTTAATCTGACATTCAATCCAACCATCCCTGCTTGGCATATGATCTAAGCAAACTCAAAGATAACTCGAAAGTTCAAACGGAATCTCTGACATAAGACCCTGAAAACAGCAACTGTTGGACTCCAACCCTCCCCCAAAACAAAACAGTCTAGATGCTTCTTACAAAGGCAGTTACTACGACGGGTGAATTTAAATATAAGTTTGTTTAAGTCACACTTTATATTAAGTGCTAAACGTTGTAGAAAGTAATCTAAAAATATTCCAGCAGACTTCACACCTCGTTAATTTCGTGAATACTCGACGTTATCTTGCTACACTGCTGCTAGCTGCGCGCGTTCACTCACTTGAATATTTCTTGAACGTGTCAGTGCAGCCGAAGAAACACGACTTTCTGACAACGCAAATGTATATAATATACACCAGAACACAAAATACAGCAGTGAAATACTTACCATATCTGGTCCTGGTATCTAAAATGTTGCGATGAAGGCTGTGGTACCGCTGACGGCTAATCACCCAGAGCAGCTACAGAAAGAGCATAAATGTGCAACGAGCATCCACTTCCGGTAGTGGCGATGACGCGTTGGATTTTCAGAATTAAAGTCTTGTGACAAAATTGCAGAGTGTGTTCAGTTTTAAAGTGTATTTATTTTATTTTGACTGAAAATGTTACGGCACTGGTAACACTGTGAGGGTTGGGAATTGTATTGTAACTTTCAGCAAAATAATCATGGTTAAATTCATATTATGTTCCCTCAAAAGCTATATTTTACGTTTGTTTTTTGCTACAATATCATTGAATTGTGCTAGATGGATTTATATATCCAATGTACTGTGCAGACTTTTTTTGCAGCAGATGTTTTTGCTTTTTTATTTTTTAATATCATACTTTGTAATTTTGTATTTTAATTTTTTTTAGGGTGACGTTTTAACATTTTCAGGGACTACAGATGAAAAATAGCCTTTAGGCTAACTCTGGCGTATTTATATTAATAATAAAAAAACTGCTTCTGTCTCACATTTTGTACAAGAGATTTATTCAGTTAAAATTTTTAAGTGAAATCATCAAGAATCAGTGTGCAGTGTGGTTTGTGTTAACACTTTAATGGCATAGCAACACTATACAATTGAAGTACAAAGTGTACAGATCATAGACTTCAAAAAAAGATATAGAAACAAAAATTAAGAAAGGAAAGCTTATTTTAGCTTAATTCAGCAACAGCAATTTTATTTTCATGAAATTGATGAAACTGCTCTATTTTGAGATTGGAATGTGTGAAAATTGTTCTTGCTTGTTTTGATACTGTCATGTTTGACAAATACTATAAAGTGAATGTGTTTCTCTGAACATACAATAAAAAGCTTGAGGGGGCAATTAATATTCTTTTCCTCATTAAAACGTTTTAATCCCAAGATGCCTTTAATGACTGCGTGTACCTTGAATAAACATTTTTGTCTACATGTATGTGAGCTGGATTTGTTTGTTATGGGATTTCAGTGACCCTTCTTTTAAATCCTTTATGCACGGGATCTCAGTCTATAACCTCTGACCCCGTTGATCCCTCTCCTGGATGTTGGTTCTCTTGGGGCAAGGCCTCTGGCAGAAGCCTTACACGACCGCTCACATTCCTCCTTGGAGACAAAGTTATTTCCATTCGCTTCGCAACCACCGTACCAAAATTGTGAGCAAGAGCCAGAGGAAGAATCAAAGTAGAAACGAGATGTCCATTCATAACAGGACCCAACATCTCGTGCCAAAGAGCACACACCAGCAGAGGGCTGACGGACTGGACTATAATCCTGAAAACAAAAGAGATAATGTGTTGTAAAGAGTGTTGATACAAAAAAATTAAATTATGATATATGCAGCATAGAGGAATATTGAGAGTGAAAATCAATGAGCTGGTTTACTCTATAGGGTAAATCAGGACATCCTGCTCTTCCAAAACCTTGAGCAGCTGTTACTCCATCAAGGCAGCAACCATATCTATTAACAGGCAGATACACACAACATAGATAATTGAGTGAAATAGGATATGAATGGTCAGTTTATAGGTTGTGAAGTTTGCATTATATTGAATGGATCAGATATATTGGACATTATTAAAGGGCACCTATTATGCCCCTTTTTACAAGATGTAATATAAGTATTAGGTGTCCCCACAGATAATTTATTATATCAGTTTGAAAATTCCTATTTTGAGTGGAAGCAGAAGCACATGCTGCATCCCAATTCGCATACTATCCATCCTAAATAGTACTCGAAATTAGAATTAGTATGTCCCAAATCGTAGTATGTTGAAATTAGTATTCCAAAAGTACCCGGATGGTTTACTGCTTCCGGTAGAAATTCAAAGTGCAAATCTGTGCACATACTCTTAATGGCTAATATTGCACACAACACAATGTGTGGACAAGGATTCAATTAAAAATACAAACACGCATGAAAAGTGTTAAAAAACTACAAACATGGCAGATATGCGAGAACGACAGACAGGTAGAGAAAGGGGTTTGAGTGATAAATAATCAATATCTAACCTGTTGAAAAAATATTTATTTAATGTTATCCGCATTATATTTCATCTGCAGCAACACTGTGAACTTTATAATGACACATTTGGTCATTATTTTTTAAATGCATCATTATGCAAACATATGAGCAGAGTTCTCGGTATGATTGACCCGCGACTAGCAGATCAACATCCCTCTTCATTTCTCTCCAATACGGTAGGAAATTAAATTAAACGAAATATGGATAATGTTAACTTTGACAAGATGACTGACAGTGCAGTTTAAATGGTGACAGGATGTACGTAATTAAGCAACAGAGCGTGCTTTAAAGACGCAGTTATGACGAAGTCCTAAAGCTTGCCTACTATTCTGCTACATGCTCAAAAGTATGTACTTTTTCTTCACAAAAAGAGTACATACTTTTAGGGCATAGTATAAGTAGGCGAATTAGGACGCAGCAACACTGTTTTCGTGCATGAATCTTTAAATGCAAATGAGCTGCTGCTCCCCGCCCACCTTTTCCAGAATAGAGCTGTGACTTTACAGCTTTTACCTCAAATACTATAAAAAAACATCTGTTTGATTTTGATTATCATGTATATCGCGCTGAAATCATGCGTTTTACAGCCATATCAGTTTAAACTTCTGCTCTAGCGTGAAGATAAACATGGTGGATTGTGTGCGGCTCACTCAGGGCGGGGTCTTTGCTAATACGGCGATGTCAGTCAGCGGTCGTGGGTGGGGCCTAAACATTGTGACGTCACAATGCTCAGAGAATCAAAACGGCATGTCTAATGAGACTGATTTGGTTTAACGGGGATTAAAAAATAAGGAGTGGGTGGATTTTTATCATTGTAGGGTGGTTGTGTTCACACACTGCCAACACACATTTATGCCCAAACACCATGTAAAAGTGGATTTTGCATAATAGGTGCCCTTTAAAGGTGCAGTATGTAATATTGACAGATAGCAGTTGAAATGGGTACTGCAGTCCAAATTCAAAATATTGTTTCTCCCACCCCCTCCTCCTCAGATGCGACGCTCCAACGGGTTGTCAAAATTGAGGACACGCATCGGGAATGAGAGCAATTGACACTTGAAGGCGATGAGCCCTACACTGTAAGTTGATGAGTTGATTTATCCTCGTTTTAATATGCTTCTGGTCTTAGAACTTTTTAGACTGATGCAGAGGCTTTTTAGGTCGAGTAAAATCTGCGATCTCTGACCCAGTTCATTTGCTGTTCATACACTGCTTTCCGCTCTCTGGCAACCCGGGGTGTTGAAATACTATTGGTTAAACTGCATTGGGCTGAATCACACAGACCAAAACAAAAACAGGCATTCCGACACAGAATGCACATTTTCAAAGTAGAATAATTGGCTTTAGCTTTGCTTTTCAGAGAAACAAGTATGTTTCCTAAAAATCTGCAAATGTATTATGGTGTTTTTATGCTTTGATACAATCAAAAAATTACATTCAGCAGCTTTAAATTAGACTGTCAGTATATTTTTATTATAATGTATATTTTATTTATATGATATTTTATATTATTATCCTTAATATTTTACTTTATTTATATTTCATTTGATATTTTATTTTATTTTATTTGTTTTGTAGTCTTTTTAGTGATCAAAGTGTATCTGTGGGCAGATGATTTGACTATATATATATGTACCTGGACCTATGAAGAGTCATCCTGAGCACAGCCTTCCCCACGAGGCCCTGAGGCAGCAGTGTGGCCATCCGGACAGCAGCCATAATATGACTGGGCACAATGCGGCCCAGTCACTGTGGGGTATGGATCACTTGATCTGTGAACTGCTCACAGAGCAAATGTAGAGCAAGAATCAGAACATATACAATAAAAATAAGCACATGAGAAATGGATACAGAAATTTAAAACTGCTTTCAAATCATCTACATATTTGTGACAGCTTTTTAACCTGAGGTTGCATCATGGGTATGAGGCACAAATCCACGCAAGGAGCTTTCATAACCACTGGGGTACTGCACGCTGGGCACCACTAAAGCAAAGTAACACAAACACAGAATGAATCTCATAGCACAGGGCATTTCAAACTTTTTATGCCACAGTCTGTCAAATATGATGATTCCCTTCAAGGGACCCCCTTCTTAAAACATAAAAGGCAGCAATATATTTTCATATATAAAAATCTATTCAACTGAGAAAAACTATAAATATGTGTAACATATTTTCTGGAAAATATTTAGTTTTTATTGAACTGATGCTGTAGTTTTTCTACCCATCATTAGACTACTGTTGGCTGTATAAACCTTAGGAGAAAATAAAAATATGGCTGTCAAAAAAATGAAAATATTATGTTTTTTTCTAGCACCAAATCAGCATATTAAAATGATTTCCGAAGGATCATGTGACTGCTGAAAATTCAGCTTTGCTGAAGAATCTACATATTTAAATATATTAAAATAGAAACAGTTATTTTAAATTGTAATAATGTTACACAATACAACAGTTTTCACTGTATTTTTGACCAAAGACAGCCTTGGTGAGCATAACAAAACATTTATTCTTCTTTCAAAAACGTGTATACACATACAGTCAGTGACCATGAATAAACTCACTTTGTGCACCAGGGCAGGGCTGTGTGTTGCAGTTCTCCACAGCATGAGGTCTGGGGAAAGTAGCACATCTTTCATCTGGATATTGATTGTGATCCAAATCCATGCATACTACTCTGCGCTCACGAGTACCAGTTCCACAGCTACGAGAACACTGAAGGAGACAGGGAGAGAGGTATGTACTTCAAACTGATCGGCTTTCTCCTTTATGGCCTTGCTCTCCTTCCTTCTCTCACCAGGCTGAAGTCATTGTTATAATATCTAAAACTTGGTGGCAAGCTGGTCTCTGACAGGATCTGATGTCATGTGGACGTGTGAGACCCCTGCAGTGGTGCTCAGTGATGTGCTCTCCTCTGCCCCTGACACAGAACACCTCTCGTGTCTGCTGTCCCTCACCACACGTCACCGAGCACTGGGGGAAACGAGAGAATAGAACAATAATCAAAGTTAGAAATAACAGAGCAACACCTGCCAAAAATGTGTGATTGTGAGTGCATGTGTTGATATTAATTAAATAACTACATACATCACCAAAGGGACCGACACTGTACTCGACACAGGGGTGCTCGTTGCAGGCCATCTGGGAAGCTGGTTTCCTGAGGCCTTGTGCAATGCAGTGAGATTCATCGACCATTGCTGATGTTCTCTCATTAATACAGTACACACTACGGGTCTGCACTCCTCCACCACAGTGAAGCGAACACTCTGAAAAGGTGCTGTATGTGTACCTACAAACACAATCAGTCACACTTAATTTGAATTTTGTTTACATACAAGATTGCCAAAGCATTATACACAAAAAAAGTAATGACAAGAAAAAGAAATAGACAATATTACAAATAAGGTGCTAACTAATGAATAAAATAAGACTATAACCATTCAAAATGATATAGAGTTGAAGGAGTTTTCTCCAGCGGGTATCTTCTCACTTCTTGTTTACAAACATGTTTGTTCAACTGAATACACCTATTTTTAATTATTTTATTTATTTTATAACAATATAGTAAAATTAGCATGCTAGTACGCAGTTCCGAATTCAGCATTGTTTTCGTTCTTGAATGAATCAGTATTTTGGAACAAATCGGTTGAATGAATGAATGATTCACTTATGACTCACTTATACATGTTTTGCTCCTGACTGAATCGAGTATGAGGTCTCTGCAGAGCAAAAGTGGGTGTTTCTAAATTTGCAGGCATGTTCATACTGGTGGGTGTTTCTAAATTATGCAATGAAAATGATGCACGTTACCTGACCCCACCCCACACAACCGTCACTGTGATGGGAGCAAATCAGATAATGCGGTTGAAAACGCCCCTCAGTTTTGGCCTCGCCCACCAACCTGGTAAATCCCATTACTGTCCTCCAGAGACCTAGGCTGCTTCCGAAATCGCTTATTTCCCTACTATATAGTAGGCGATAAACAGTATGTGACAGAAGAAGTATGTCTGAATTCACAGTACTCATAAAAGAGTAGGCAAAAAGTACCCAGATGACTTACTACTTCCGGCATGATTCTGAAGTGTGCATACAATGGACACTTTACTATCCCATGAGGCCACAGGAGAGCATTTATGAATGGCAGTGACATGACGCAACTGACACTGGTAGGTCACATGACAATGACAAAATGGTGACAGGTCACCAGGTTCCAGCTTCCAGGTTACATTTATACTACACACAGTCATACTATATAGAACATACTATTCGCCGCAAAGTAATTACTTATTCAGAAAAGTACCTACTCAAGAGGGTATGCCATTTCGGACGCAGCCCTATGCTTGACTGAATCAGTTTTTTAAAATGATTTCGAAAAATGAATTCGGAAATCGGTTAATACCGATGAAAGACAGTCACTTATTGCCCCCTACTGACATATTGTTACCTGCAGAAAGTAACTGAAAAATACACAGATGGACAGACTGAAATATAATACAATATAATATCATATAATATAATAAATATTATATAAATGAAATAAACAAAAACAAGCGAACCAAAAACAACAGGAAGTCAGGAAAAAAAAAAAGATTTTATAAAAATAAATTGTATAAGAAAGAAGTATATATCCATGTATGCAAGCATACACATATACATACATTTCATAGACACATATTACACATGCATAAAATCATACATAAATTACCTGTAGGTGTCCAGATGGGCAGCAGCTCCAGAGCCATGTCTAGAGGTGACAGGAAGAGAGTGATCCTCAAAAGCCACAATCTCCCCATGGCTCACCGCCTTTCAGCAAAAATAAGGGTGTTAGAATGAACTGTTTGTGTGTGTGGTTTTGTGCTGTAGTCAGTGTACACATGCTCTGCAGACTCCTTCCACGCAGATTTCTCTGCGGCCCACATAGCACGGTGTGCCGTCCACTACAGCAGGGCCTGAAACCTGAAATATCCATCGTGAATAGTTTCAGAAAAAAAATTTAAATAGGCATGTCATTTCTGCAATTGGTTATACTAATTCTTGAGCATGTGTTTTATGTTTGTGATACTCACACAGAGAACTGCAGAGATCAAGCCCAGGACCCCGAGAAGAGAGTGTTGCATCATCTTTAGGATACACAACACACATTATTTTAAGGCATTTTTACATTTTTGTTGACTACAAATTATTCAACTTCTATAATGAATGATCACTTACCTTCTCAGTGTGATACTTCGGAAATCCCAAGTTCACCCAGTCACAGCGAGAGAGATGCGTCACTGACGTCCATTCACTCAAGACTGAACATCTCTCCCTTTGTGCACACGTACACAAACGTACCAATACACACTACTGATATCAGGTTGCAATTAACCCCTCTTGGGAGAATATCATGCATGAATCTTATCATGATAAAAGGGAAATGAATCAGTGACTACTGCATAAATCTTCATCACACTTCATTATTCATTATTGTTCAAGTTCACCCAGTCACAGCGAGAGAGTTGCGTCACTGACGTCCATTCACTCAAGACTGAACATCTCTCCCTTTGTGCACACGTACACAAACGTACCAATACACTACTGATATCAGGTTGCAATTAACCCCTCTTGGGAGAATATCATGCATGAATCTTATCATGATAAAAGGGAAATGAATCAGTGACTACTGCATAAATCTTCATCACACTTCATTATTCATTATTGTTTGGTAAAAATGAAAAGCAGATTGAGTTCTACACAATATCTGTTTATTTAGACATTTTGGTATAATTTAAATCTTCATTTAATAATTTTGCAGTCTTCTATAAGAATGGTCAATGGTCGATTTTATATAGTGTTTGCATATTTTACAATGCATATTTCAAATCAGTTTTACAGAAAGATACAACAGGATCATGCAAGAGACTTCTGACCTGTCTATTAAAGGAATATTTCACCCATGAATGAAAATTTGTTTCTACAAACACGCAGCTTTTCGCTTCTCAAGACATTAAGTGATGGACTGGAGTTGTGTGGATTACTTGTAGATTATTGTGATGTTTTTATCTGTTGTTTGACTCTCATTCTGAGGGCACCCATTCACTGCAGAGGATCCATTGGTGAGCAAGTGATGTAATGCTACATTTCTCCAAACTGGTTCCAAATAAGAAACAAACTCATATACATCTTGGATGGCCTGAGGGTGAGTACAGTTTTCAGCAAATTTTCATTTTTGGGTGAACTATTCCTTTAGGGCCAGAACCCCAAAATATTATTTAGAAAGCGAGAGAGAATATTATTATGAAAGCATAAGTGTGTGATGTGTGACAGACAGGTCTCACAACGAGGCTTTTTTCAATGTTCTAACCACAGACGTTCCTCTTAGTGCCACTAAACATATAGTATTCAATCATAGGGGTGGAAGTGCTTTGTGACACTCAATCCTCTAAGCTCCTATTTTAGTCCCTTTCACTTTTCAGCAACCAAAATGACAGATGATGGCTGTCATTGTGAAGAAGAATGCAGACTAACTGTGCCAACTTTACCTACAGGATCGGCTTCACTTCCACCCTAACAACTAAGATCCAGACACCACGTATAGGGACGATGAACTTGGATAAACAGGATGCATTGTTTAGGTGCCTATAACATTTCATAAGAGGAGATTTCAGGTAAAAACTCATGTGTGTCATTTTTTGGATGTTAAAATCTTTAGTCGTATCTCATTTTAATATGAGACTATGAGTAAGCCATTCGTATGATTACCCTAAAAAGTGTAAAAAGTGTGGCTCTGGTTGCTGCTGTCTACAGTTTAATTAGAGCTGTCTGTTGAGCTTCTCAGCTTGCCTTTCTTTGGCATCCAAAGCGTATTTGGTGTCTTGGAGGTCCTCGATGGTCTCCAAGGCCTCCTGCAGCTCCTTGTTAAGAGCGTTGTATTTGTCAGTCAGTATTCTGTTCTCCAGGCGAAGCTCCATGATGTGGCAACTCAGCTCCAGGTTGGAATGGCCACAGTGTCCACGTAGCTGCTCCACCTCCCTCAGCAGAACCTCCATACTCCTAATCAGAGACTCCAACTTCTCCTGTTGTTGGGTCATACTGTTGTGTTGCTTTTTGTGCTTCGGTTCTCTATAGTATTCCTAAAAGAAATAAGAGGAAAATAGATACAGATACAGACACAGACAAATACAAACTGAAATCCTCTCTCTGTCTGATAGTGTCCGTTTTAAACAAATCCAATTTGTTTAATCCCTTCCTTGTCTCACCTCTTTCTCCTTTTCCCTGCTACTCTCTCTCTCTCTTTCTTTACTTTATAGATCTAAAGCAGTGGTCTTTGGCTGATTTTGGGATATTAGGATACAGATTTTACATCAAGTGGCGATCCAATATCTGTACTGTTTTGGTAACTAAATCATAAATTAAAATAATGATTAATTAAAATAAAGCTGAAATAAAATAAAATAAAATATTATATAAGTATACGATAAAACTGTAAAATATTAAAATAACTAAAACTATAAATAAAGGTAAATAGACATATTTAAAAAATAAAAATGACAAAAGCAAAAATTACTTAAATGAAAAAAAAAACTAAATTTAAATTAAAAATTAAAAACAACATAAACTAATCATGTAAAAATAAAATATTAATATTAATAAATACTATAACAATATATAGAAAATAATAAAATAACACTGTTAATCAGCAAGTCATACAAAATGTCAGCAACAATCTCCTTAAAAATCAAACTGAAATGTATTAATATTACAACAAACCACATAGGCCGAACAATAAGCAAAATTCATAGGCTGAAAAGAAAAATAATTAAATACATAAACAACAGCAGAAATGTGATGCATCATCCAAAAACATGGAACAACTAAATATTGTATTAATATATCAGCCATATTACAGAGTGACAGATACATTTATGCCAAAAATACGGTAGAGTTTGATTGGATGAATCAGCTGCCTTTGTTATCATCAACAACAACTAAGATGTGAAAATCATTTTCTCCTCCCCTCAAATTATGCATGATTTATAGTTGCATTGTATTATTTGTATTCAGTGTTGTTTATCTCCACTGCCTGTGACAGACCTGCAATCCATTATTGGGTTGTGAAACCACTGATCTAAAAGACATTCTGTTATCTTCTAGTTGGCAATCCCCTTTATTAAAGTGAAACACATCCTTAAAACATGCATGGATGCACACACATAAATGCACGTTACACCTAAAGACAGGAGAACTATGGTTGATTGATGTACAGTATCTTCTGCTCATAATGCCTAATGATCAGTCAAGCAAAGTAAAAGTGCGCCATGCTAAACGTTAAGCCACTATAATCACTAAGGTGATTAGCATGCCAACACAATATTTTAGCCCCAGACTGTGTGACTGCTTATCCCATACACTGCCTGTCTGCGGTCCTCTCAATTTAGAGGCTAATACTAAAAAAAGTCCCAGCTCAATCTGATAAAACAGATTTCTATTGTAATGGATGTGCAAAATGCTCATTTGGAGAGCAAGAGAATTGAATGTTCGGCTGTAAATAGAGAGTCACATCAGGTTACAGTCTGTTGCATGGTCTTTTAATCTGATGTCGAGGGCACAAATAAAGCTAGACACAAGCTAGATCAGCAAAAGTTATCAGGAATCAGAGATTGCAATGAAAAGAGAGACACAGAGAGAAAGCCATAAAGACAGCTTTCTTAAATTACCGCCACATTCAGCTTGTTACACAAACATCACTGCTGCTAAAAAAACAGTTGCTGGTAAGACGTTGCTGACATGTAGTACTTTTTTCGTGAGTTATGGCCCTGCAATTCTTACTGTTTGTTCTTGTTTTCCCCATATGACAAAAATATTTATATTTTTAGTTTGGCATAAATATATATAAATATATACATATTTTTCTATCCAAAATATTTTTTAAACATTAAAAATACATCAAATATATTTTCCAAACTACATTTAAACATATTTAATAAAACTTCTTAAAACATTTAAACTATATATATATATATATATATATATATATATATATACACACACACACACACACATGTATGTACATAAAAATAGAATATATTTAAAAATGTATATATATTCAAAATGTTTATATTAATTAATTCATAAATCAAATATAATTTTAATGGTCAATTGATTCTAAATGTTTGGCAGTCGCTGATCTATGATATTCTCTACGTTACAGATCAGAGTGGTTGCAGAACCAACATTCGGCCACTAGGGATGGGCGATACCACTTATTTTGTTTTCAATACGATACCGATATTTTTCAAGGCAGTATCGTCGATATCGATACCGATTCGATACTTCTGCACTAAACTTT